TTGTATGTTACCTACTTTATTACTAATTCCACTCATCATTAGTTACCACCGTTGAATGAATTTCTCATATTTTCTAATCTATTTCTGAATATGAGGTAATCTACTTGATTTCAATTTGAGAGGGATCTGTATGGAGAGTCATTTTTGCTTCTCTGTCCCAGTATTTGAATACTCTGAAGTCTATTTCACACCCAACACCAACTAATTCTACAATTGTAGTCGTTATAAGAATTGATACAGACTAAGAGCTTCTTCTCTTGAAAGATCTGCCCTCCTCTTCCCCTTTTTCTGCTTTTGTTTTGAATACCCAAGCCCAATGAAGAGTTCTGGGGAACAAAAAATCTTGCTATTTTGTGACTGATCATTTTAAAAGACATTGCATAATTGTTAACCTTTTCTCTATTATCATGACAAATAAAAACTGGATGATTGGGGAAAGAAATCTCACAATGAAGCCACCCTAACAAATTTAACTCACTCCTCAGGAGAAGCATGTGCCCAAGTTTGTAAAGCCTGTTGTTCTGAAAATTTGGCAGGACAGGAAACAGCAGTTTTTGCCCAGGTTCATAAACTACTATTATGCTTGCTTCTATTAAACGTCCCAGTCTTTTTCTGGGCACAACAACATAATCTACGGAAAATACAGAATACAGATATACCTTCCCTTTCATCAACCTGCAGCAGTTTCGAGTCTGAGTGATTCCACCGCATTTCCAAAAACATGTTTGCCTGACAGCTGGGCAGAAGTCCATGCTGTCAACAGAGGCTGCACTCATGCTTTGCCCTCTTCCATATGACCCACCATTTCTACTGTTCAGCTGTTCCCCTCCCTTCAACGCTCATGCCTCAGGTCACCTTTAAAGTTAAATTTACGGAACATGCTCTATTTGTATACACTATTGCAAAGACGGATTTCACTGATACAAAAAGAAAATCGTCAGAGCATAGAATACACGTGGCCTAACTCTGCTGGCTATTTTTGGCTGGTTATAAGAAAAGTGATTAACTAGCTACTTCATTCAAAACCACATAAGCCATTAATATCTTAACAGGTTACCTGTGCAAATAATCTGGTGCTTTATTTAGTAAGGTATAATACTGCCTCACGAACTCCCGCCCCACAAGCAACGGGCTTGGCTTCTCCATCACCATTTCTTTGGTACACGGTGGCAAAGGCTATAGAACACAGAAGAAAAAAGGGACAACTCAAAAAGTTTGAACTTCACCATTACTATCTCCCAGAATTCTAGCTGATCTCCAAATAACAGAGATCAGTTCCCCTGGAGAAAAAGACTGCTTTGGAGATGAACTCTATGGCATTATATCCTGCTGAGGTCTCTCTCCTCCACAAGTCCCGTGCTCCCAAGGTTCCACCCCCAAATCTCCAGGAATTTCCCAAACTGAAATTGGCAACCCTAGTCTATATGCTAAGTCTGTGTGATGATGAGGCTTCCTAACAAGAATTCTGGAGCAATGATAATGTAAGAACTAGTAGAGGAAGCAAGAATTAAGGTTAGAAGGAGCTGCATAACATTTGCTACTCAAAAACCTACACTCCCTAATGTGTAGCCTGAGCAACACCTGCAACTTTTGTATAAACTACCTACACAGGATGAGGTGGGTGGCAATCTAAGAGAGCACCTTCTTCAGTAGTGGCACCAAAACTCTGGAGCTCTTCTCTCCTGCAGAAGAGTTGCTTGTGCCACTCTGTTGCCAGCAACAGAAGGTTTTTGTTTGTTTCACTTAGCATTCCTTTACTGATCCTTCCTTCTTGCCCAGTGGTCTAACACTTGTTTTTATCTTTTGTACTTATTTTAAGCTCTGGTTTAAAATTGTTTTAATATTGTATTTGTGTGCTAGGTAACGGCTTTTAAGATGAAAATTTAACTGCATGTTTTAAATTGTTAGCTGTTTTGGTGGCCATATGAGTACAGAAAGGCTCAGTAAAAATTCTTGTTCATAACAATACTAATGATGAAAACGTTTGCATGTAAGAGGCCAATTTAAAGGCAGGCAATGTGGCAGAGCACGACTGGATACCACCTGACTTAATCAAGGATTTTGCCAGTTGGTAGTCCCCAATCCTGACATACTTGTTTCGGACCACTGATTACTCTGGACAATTTCCTGTGACCTGGCAGGAGGCTACAGAGGTTCCTATTTATAAAAAAGGGGACATAAGAACATAAGAGATGCCAATGTTGGATCAGGCCAAAGGCCCATCCAGCCCAACACTCTGTATCACACAGTGGCCAGAAATACCAGTGCCATCAGGAGGTCCACCAGTGGGGCCAGGACATTAGAAGCCCTCCCACTGTTGACCCCCCCCCAAGCACCAAGAAGACAGAGCATCACTTGCTCCAGAGTCCCTAACAAATTTGACCCGAAGAATTAGAGACCCATAAGCCTGCTGTCATCTTTAGCAAACTTTATGCAAGCAACCTTACTAAGCTGAAAACCTGGATGGACTCAGAACATCTACTGGGAATAGAACAAGCTGTCAACAATTGATCATTGTGTGGCCCTTGCGCATATGGCTGACAAATACACTAGAACCAACCAGGGTAGGTTACATCTTGCCTTTTTTGACCTAAAATCTGCATTCGATATGTTCCTTTGGGATAGACTCTAGGAGAAACTATGCAAGACAAATATACCAGTTAGGTTACTTTTTTGATTAGTTGTCTTTAATACTCAGATTAGAGTGTGTTATGGTGTACATGGCTGTTTATCTGCTCCCACAGAGGTCAGGAGGGGTGTAAGACAAAGTTGTCTCCTAGCTCCTACTTTGTTTAATCTTTACATTAATGATTTAGCCCCTAGACTGAATATGCTGTCTTTGCACACACAACCCCATGGCTAGAGTGATTTCATCTCAGTCATGCTATATGCAGATATGCATATATGTAGCTTTGGTATCAGTAATCAGAGTGGGACAGCATTGGTCAATTGAGATCTTTATTCAACATTGTGCTGATAAACATCTGGTAATTAATTTCGAAAAATCCAAGGTTTCAGTTTTTGCTAGATTTTGTAAACCGAAATTATTATGCTGGAATATCTCAGGTCACATGATGGAAGAAGTCCAATTTCATAAATATCTGGGAGCTACATTCTGGGCTTTGCACACTAAAGAGATACCTGTGAAAGCCAAGAATGCAGTGAATACAAGAATACAATTTTGAGGATTTTCTTCCCCAGTACAGGTGCTTAATTTGCACGTGCAGCTTTAGATGCTTTTCGGGCAAAAATAATCTCTCTGTTTTTGTATGCTATTCTGGTGTGGCTTGGTAGCCTGGGTATGTGCTGAGATAGAATCCAGAAGAATTTCCTTAAATCTGTCTTAGCGTATCCTTAAATGCATTGCATCATCTTCCCTGTTAATGGAAACTGGGCAGAAAACAATTTGTTAATGGTTATTAAATTTTGTTGTTCAGTCGCACAGTCGAGTCCGACTCTTCGCGACCCCATGGACAATCTCCCGCCAGGCTCTCCTGTCTTCCGCCGTCCTCCGAAGTTGGCTCAATTTCATGTTCGTTGCATCGCTGACACTGTCTAACCATCTCATCCTTTGCCGTCCCCGTCTTCTTTGACCTTCAATCTTTCCCAGCATCAGGGTCTTTTCCAGTGAGTGCTCCCTTCTCATTTGGTGGCCAAAGTATTTGAGCTTCAGTTTCATTATCTGGCCTTCCAGGGAACAGTCAGGGTTGATTTCTTTGAGGATTGACTGATTTGTTCTTCTTGCAGTCCAAGGGACTCTCAAGAGTCTCCTCCAGCACCATAGTTCAAAAGAATCTATTCTTCGGCGCTCGGCCTTCCTTATAGTCCAACTCTCACAGCCATACATGACTACTGGGAATACCATTGCTTTGACCATGCGGACTTTTGTTGGCAGGGTGATGTCTCTACTTTTTATCATGCTGTTTAGGTTCGCCATCGCTTTCCTCCCAAGGAGCAGGCGTCTTTTAATTTCATGGCTGCAGTCACAGTCTGCGGTGATCTGGGATCCCAGGAACGTGAAGTCTGTCACTACTTCCACAGCTTCCCCTTCTATTTGCCAAGGAGTGATGGGGCCGGATGCCATGATCTTAGTTTTTTTGATGTTGAGCTTCAAGCCCACTTTTGCGCTCTCCTCTTTTACTCTGAGCAAGAGGCTCTTTAGATCCTTTTCACTTTCAGCCATTAGAGTGGTATCATCTGCATATCTGAGGTTGTTGATCTTTTCCCCAGCAATCTTAATTCCCGCTTGTGATTCATCCAGGCCAGCATTTCGCATGATGTACTCTGCATATATATTAAATAAGCAAGGCGACAATATACATCCTTGTCGTACTCCTTTTCCTATGCTGAACCAATCAGTTGTTCCATATCCGGTTCTAACTGTCGCTTCTTGGCCCTTATACAGGTTTCTCAAGAGACATGTGAGGTGGTCTGGTACTCCCATCTCTTTAAGGACCTGCCATAGTTTGTTGTGATCCACACAGTCAAAAGCTTTAGCATAGTCAATGAAGCAGAAGTAGATATTTTTCTGGTACTCTCTTGCTTTCTCCATAATCCAGCGAATGTTGGCAATTTGATCTCTAGTTCCTCTACCTCTTCGAAACCCAGCTTGTACTTCTGGTAGTTCTCTATCCACGTACTGTTGAAGCCTAGCTTGTAGGATCTTGAGCATGACCTTGCTAGCTGCGACTGAACAACAACAAATTAATCTAGAGAGTAAAGAACCACTAGTTTCACTGTCAGTATTAGATTCTTTTAAACCTGGATTGGCTCGCCTCCTCATAGATATGCTGAACTCGTTTGGCTTGGATTGTGACTCTTTCTGGTCCTAGGGAAGACTAATGCTTATAGTTAGGTTAGTAGCCACCTTTGGCGGAAGAATGGTGCAGTCTTCAAGAAAGGAACTGGCACATATACGTTGGATATTCACATTTTAATCAATACCAGTTACCATATTATCTCTATAGTATTACAATACCATGCTTTTGGAGATTTTTTTTTCTTGCAAGAATGAATTCACTTCCTCTTGCTGACTTACATGGATGATTTACAGGCCAAGAAAAGGGATCTAGAGTTTGTATCTGAGATCGGTCTTCTGTAGAAACTATTGAGCATTTCTTCTTTTTCAGTGTAATTTATTCAGAACAGACTCTCTAGATTTTGGGGATGAATTTGTTGGCCTTAAAGGTGCCACTAAACTCAAACTTTGCTCTATTGCTTCAGACCAACACAGCTACCCGCCTGAACATATGAGGTAGGTTAGGCTAAGAATGTATCACTGGCCCAAGGTTACCCACCAACCAGTTTCCATGGCAGAGTAGGGACTGTGATCCGGGCCTCCCAAGACCTCAGTCCAACATTCTGATCACTACACTGGCTTTCTAACAATGGTGTGCAACCCTAGATTTCAGGGGTTGACACAGCCATTGATAAATATTCACAACTCCTGCCATGTGCACCAAGGAAGCATTGCCACTGCCTAGTGGGACTTCTCGTGATTCCCTTCTTGACTTCCTTTTGGTAGGAGTTGCAGATAGAAATAGCAAGCGCTGTCTCCACCTTGACCTTTGATTCTCCTTCTGGGGCTCCCACAGGGAGTAGAAGCGATTGCCTCCCCTTCACATTTTCAGGGTCAGGGTATCTGAAGAACTAAGCCAAATTGTGGAGAAGTTGTAGAACTAACTAAACTGTGAAATTGTTCACTTCCATGTATAAGAATGAGCCCTCTGCACTGGAAAACTGAAGAATAGTAGTAAATGTTACACTAATTTTTAAAAAGAGTGTCAGAGAGGATCCAGGAAGTTACAGGCCAATTAGACTAGTGCCTGCTCTAGAAACTTCCTTTAAAGATAAAAGTGAGCAAATAGAGGGGGGGAAAACCAGCTGAGAAGAAATTATAATGGCTTCTGCAAAGGGAAATCCTGCATTTACAACCTTTTAGAATTCTTACTTGGACTTCCAAAAGGCTTTTTTAGAAAGGCCCCTCAGTAAATCAACTCAAAGTCTCCAATTGGTGCAGAATGCCACGGCTTGGTTATGACTGGGAGCCGGACAGGGCATGACTATTGTTCCCATTCTGCAGTCACTCCATTAGCTGCCCATTAACTACCAGGCTCGATTTAAGGCACTGGCTGTCACACACAAAGCCCTTCGTGGGCTC